CTCCCTTCTCTCTTCCTGTCATCCACCCTTTTCTCGAGCTGTTCTTGGCAGCCGGCAGTGAAAAAAGTTCTGAAGCTATCACTCTTCCTCTCTCCCCCTGCTCCTCTCCCAGTCAGTGAATCATTGCCTCTCCCTCCCGTGTACGCTGGCTGTGAAAGACTTGCTGCTCTTTTCTTGGCTGTTGCTTCTTTTCGCCTTCCTCTCTCCTATAAACCATTTTCTTTTGCTCCGTTTTCTCCATTCTTCCATCCTTTCTTCCCATTTTCCCCTCCCTTGGTTGATGTTTAGGAAGGGAATAGTTTTTAGATATACTTGCATGGATGTAACAGTGAAATTCCATTTCAATGAAAGCAGAGATCTTTCCCAGTAAGGCAGCACAAAACCTCGATGCACCAGAAAAGTCCTCGTGACCGTTGGGCTTTATCTTTGCTCTTTATCATTCCTCTCCAGGTCTGTAATTTGTTTGGATGCTAAGTTTTGTTGACGAACACTTAAAACGATCAATCACGACAATAAAAGCATGAGTCCAACATTTAGAACGATTTCTAAATGTCCCCCGGAACAGCTCTGATGAATCGGCACATTAAACAGGATCTCTGGGGGAGCCAGAGCCGTTTGGCACCAGGACATTTCACCAGCAGAACCAGCAGATGATGAGGGCCAAGGGCGTGGCTTCAGCGGGTCGGATGGGATCTGTAGTGCAGTCAAAACCAAATCAGTACACAACACAATGAACGCCATGGTGAATTTCTGCGATTCAAACGAGCTTAAGAACATTTATTTATTCGACCCAAACATCTGAAAACACTATTGTAATCAAAAGGTCAGATTAGAGGAACTCTGAAATGCATCTCAGATTTACAACATTAGTGCTTTTTCCCTCCGTTTTTGTGTTTTTACAATAGTTTCTTTCTTTGGGCGTCTCCCTTGGCTCACTCACATTTTTTCTCTCAGCCTGCTTTCCTCATCTCCTCAACACCATCCTTCACATTCCTGTTCTCTCTCCAGCATGTTTCTTTGGCATCCAACTCTTCCTCCGGTTCTGACTCCGCGTTCTTTCATTTTTATATCCACCCACATATAGCACCTTTCTCTCCTCCTCTGTCATCTCCCTCTCTGGTTCAGGGCTGCTTCTCTCTTTCCCTTCCTTCAACATCGCTGTTCAGCCTTCCCTTGCTCTCACCTCCATACCGGGGCTCTTTTTCTTTTCCTATCCATTCTCCTTGCACTTGCTTCTATGTTTTCAGTGATCTTCCTCTCTCTCAGCCCCCAACTTAGCGACTCTTTTCCACCCGCTCGCGTTCCTTCTGTGGAAATGCTCTGGTATTGATCCACTCTCAAACTGAAGAGAAGGTCAGGGGTTCACTAACAAAGCTCAGGGACAAAACAGAGACACCAACAATGCAATATCACACACAAGCAGAAGATAAATATAGTCCGGTAGCAGAGCCTAGGTGATAAACACTCAGTATGAGTGGCTGCGTGTTGTTTCAGAAAAACATGTTTTATCGAAGACCTGCTCTTAATGCAGCTCAACGTGTGTGTTTACCAAAAACAGCTGCTGTGTGGCTGTGCCAGTAAAAACATATCATCCTAATGATGGCTACAGGCAAGAAATTATGATCCAGCACAAACCTAAACTTCAGTCGGCGGGGTGACAGAGCGCCTAGTGATCAATCATGGCTGTGTGGTTAACAGCTGTCCAGGCCTACCAGCCCACCACCGCCAACCCAGCCCTGCCCTCTCCCCTGCACCCTGGAGGGGTCACCCTCGACACATTCGCCCTGCACCCCCACATCACTGAGCAATTCACACAATCTGAATTCCTAAAGTTGATGAGAAGGTTTGGGTGGAGCTCCGTTTTTGGCACGCGAAAGTCACGTTCATATTTTTGATTATACTGCCAAAACCACAAACCTTTATTTTGAAATGTATAAATAGTACATAAACATGAAATTACACATAAATGAGCAAAGGTAAACTTGGTTACTCTAACCCTGTATGGATTCCACATTTTCTCAACAGAGACACCTACTGCTCAGGATGAGAAGTGCAGTGAGTGTGGCGCTCCCAAAGCGAACACTTTTTAAATGTTTATTTGTGCAATGATCAATATGATGAAAAGATCAGAATTATTAGAGATCACATTAGAAATCATAAAAAAGACATTTTGTTATTTTTTTTGTACTTGAATGCTCCTGCTGACACCAGCACAAGCTGTAAATGGATGCTTGAAAATCATTAATGTGTGAGAACGAGAAAACCCTTGACCTATTTTGTCTACAGTAACATTCAAATAATGTGTGTGACATTAAGCGTGTCATCACTATTAACAATGTGACATGCCAACACATTTATAGTTTGTGCAATAAGGTAACAGGATGTTTACAGAATATTGCAGAAAAGATTTGACTGTCATGCAAAAAATAAATAATAAAAAGATGGAAAATGCTCCTTGTTCATATAAATAAATGCTGTTGTGACCTACAAGAGACAAACAGAAAGAAAACAGCTATAAAGATTTTTTCTTGATTTTCTTTTTCTTCTTGAAATTAAAATAAATTTTTACTTTTTGTCAGATCTTGAAACTAATTTTGAATTGCATGAAAATGTGTACTTTTATGCTAATAATTACATAAATAATAGTCGTAAAGATATTATTCATTTGTTAGGATTTATCTCTCTCTTTCAAGTCTTTCTGTATAATTTTGTGTGTGTGCAATGTTTAGTTATTTATTTTGTGCACCAGCTTTCACGGTGAAAAACGATGTGAGATTTTAGATCCCACGGGCTGCAGCTGAGGTCAGAGTAGTGAAGCTGGCATCAGGTCACATTTCAGGGGCGTCAGAGCAGACAGCATTAACCTGAGCGTGACCTTTTAGGTCTTGCTGCTGTCATGGGGTCAGCCAGCCAGTGTCTTTGTGAAGCCATTAAATCACAAATCATGACAGCTTATAAAACGACAGCAGCTTTTGGAGAAGATGTCTGAAAGATGATAAATTATTGGTGGATGCAATCTTTATTGCAGTCACTATGGTAACAAGCTGGACAGAATGGGATGGGAAGCAGGAGGAAGGGATGCAGAGAGGATATCAGGGAATTTTTTTGAGTAATTGGATGAATGAATCAATGACAGGGCTACCACCCTAAAGGCTGTAAAAGTTTTACAGAATACATTTTTTCTGACACTTAATGTAAAAAGAATATCAGACTAAACGAAAAATGTATACTTTTTCAAATGGAGGCTACCTCTGACATGTCAGTTAGCTAAAGCTATTGTGACAATGTGTAGTTTTTACCAATAATCTCTGAAAATATCCATCAAAATGCTGTTGAAAATGATTTAAATGATGCCCAGTTATTTTTGTACCCAACAACCATAACAATCTCTGGATACAATATTTCCTTCTATGGGAGCCCATGAGGACAAAATGCATTTACTGATTTGTAACAAGCGGTTACAAAACCTTCACCATTCATAAATGTTGATGTACACAATCACCTCTTCACTCGTTGCCAGTGATGAAAGGGAGTCTGATGTGCTTGTTATTTTGCTGGAGGTTGCACTTCCAGAGCTTTTTGACCCTAATGGCTATCCGTTGGTAAGGTTTTCCAGGAACACAAATATTGTCGCTTGCTTGCAATGATTTAGGTATGTACTGCCCCCTATTGCCAGGGAAAATGCACACTGTCACTTTAATGTTTGGGATGCCGATTCAACATGTTTAATTGGGACTTATGAATAAAACTATGAATACTGCTACTTGAAACAAGCGTACTGCATGTTGTAATGTGTTAATGAGGTAAAAACAAAGTTTGGCTGCAGCTCAGCTATCAACACAGCATTAAGTAACACTCAGTCATCAACCTGACGCACGTAGTCCTTGTATACACTGATAACTGTGTTTACCAGATGCCCCATGCTACAAAGGAGGTTGAGTCAAACAGCACTCTACACCAATGGCTCAGGCTAATCCAACTGAAATAAATGAGATGCTCTGCTTCGTGGCCTTAAACCTATTGTCAGAGTGATGGGCACTAAGAATGAAGACAACCACTTAAACAGAGAGAGTGCGTCTACAGAAGGTGGCAAACGAGTGTAATAAAGGGAACTAAAGCAGGAAGTATGAGGCACGTACATTACTTATCACACTTCTGTGCCTTTAAGCTAATCAAGACCGACAAAGAGAAGTCCTATTCTTTTCAAATATCCTCCTCCATTAGACTGACCACAGCACTGAGTAAAAGCTTTATGTGTGCTTTTTTATGAAGACACCTGCCATTAACAAGATGTGTCAACCGACAGAAAAAGCTCCTTTAATTGAGCTAACATAAAAGAGAGAAAATTGGACAATAATAAGGTATATATGTGAAGGACGGATAGGGGAAACGGTGTGTTTTTCTGTGGTGTCCTAATGTCACCAATACGCCAATGCAAGTGTATCTGGGAAAGTGGTGTCTTCTGTAATGCATGCAAGGCCACGCACTGTGGCTCAGTTAGTAAAAACCAAGTCCAACACACACTTTCCCCCGGGATCTCACACTGCAGTACACTGAGTCAGGCTTAGTGCATGAGTGTGGATGTGTGTGAGCGCTCCTCCTGAGTGACATTTCACAAATCCAGAGGACTGGGCTAATGATGTCCCCTGGCTGACTGAATCAAAGCTCTACCGGGTTGTGGGGAGAGTGGGAATGTGCAGGAGAAATGTGAAAAGAAGGCAGCAGGAAGAAAACAGAAGACCTTTACATATTTTCTATTGTTGATTATTGCATGCCTGATTTTTATTAATGAAAGAAATGTGTGTAGGTTGGTATTATTCAAACAGGAAACTGGTCTAACTTCACAAGTCAGCTTGTTCTTCTCATTTTAACAGAAAAAGTTGGTGCAACAGTGTTAAAACATTTCAGAGAAAATGTATTTCTTCTATGTTTGCAGCACAAATGTCAAAACAATAATAATAATCGACTGTAAACATTAATAAACAAAGATTTGAGCTTACCGAGTTGATGCATTCGAGCTCCTTGTTGAGCAGCCAGGGTAAAGAGAGTTTCCCTTCTCCCCTGTAGCACGACTGAATTCTCTCTTTGATCTTCTCCTTTATCTTCCTCAGGGTGAACAGACACAACGCTGATTCTTTGGGTGGCTTCGCTCGATTTTTCTGACCCTGAGAGAACACCGTGAAGAGGATGTCCTCATTCTCTGAAACCCCCAGGGAGTTGGCCAGCTGCCGGCCTGGCCTAGCCAAGAAGGCATCCTGCACTAAGCGGTACTCTATCCCATCCTTAGTGCAGCCAATGGGAAACTCAACGTAGGAGTAAAACTTGGGGTCGTCCATGCAGAGGCGCACAATTTTAGAGGTGAAGAACTGTTCCCCGCTAACATCCGGTGAGGTCAACTGTGTGTCTAGCTGCATCGTTAGATAATAAACGAACTGTTCGCTGCTGAAGCTGTAAACATAATAGATGTCAAAGGCGGGAAACTTGGACAGAGTGTCTGAGGGAATCTTTAGCTGAGATGAGACAAACTCGTCCTGATAGACGAAGCTGAACATGTCAGCGTTTTCCTCATTCTCCATCAGTTTGCGGCTGGACAAGGTGGGGAAGTACTCAGACTTGCCATCAATGGGGGTCCCTATGAATAACTTGCTAGTGGGATTTTGTGGAGAACTTATGATGACCCCTGACATGGTGCCCGACTCTGCTACACTGGAGAGGTAGTGCTCCTTGCGGTGGTGAGGCTCGCCCAGCTTGAAAAGGTCATCCAGACGCAAGAACTGGCAGATGCCTTGTGATGTGCTGCCACACGCAATGAGACGATTCTGACCGTAGTCTATAAGGAGCAGCTTGTTCACATTGGGGGTCTGGGCCAGGTCATGGGGGCAGGACTGGACGCTGGGTGGAGGATAGCACTTCTCATTGTCCACTACTGGGCCAGTCATGTGGTTTCGCAGTTTAGTCAGGTTACTCGACAGCTTGAAAATCCAGTTGACAGCTCCTACGTAGACCTCTCCAGTCTTGTTGTGGATGGCCAGATGTGTAAGTAAACACTCAGTGGAGGAAAACCGTTTAAATGGTGGGGGCTGCCCTCCGGAGAGGGATGAGCCCACGATGAGTAAAAGTCCCATGAGGAGCGACAAATTCCCCTGGCCAGGGACAGCTACTGGCCATACGTCAAGCTTCATATCTGGGGTGTTGACAGGCAAGGCTTAGGGGAATGGGGAAGGAGAAAGAGAGGAGGAGGAAGAGTACAAACTGTGGTACCTAGGATTAGTATTTGATTTCCAGTTCCACTTCTGAGGAATAAGAGGGAAAGAGCTTGAGGGAAAGAAGGAGCAGGGAAGGAGAAACAAAACTCCTATTGATCCACTGTCCTGTTTTCAGCGCTGTGAGCAGTCATCAGGAACACCATCCAGGGAGGCACAAGGAGGGAGCCCTGAAAGGCAAATGAAAAAGAAAAATGTGTTTGAGATTTCAAGGAACATTTCCTATAGATTATGCATCAAGAAGGCCTAAAAGGCCTAAAAATTACACAGTTAAACTACGAGGAAAAACACGCTGACATTTGCCTTGGAAAAACATAAATAATACCAAATCAAGTCTGGGAGGCAAACGTGTCGACGGTGAGTTATGAGCAAAGATGCTGGGGAGGCAGGAGTCGATTATTAAAAGCTCTGAACACAAAATTCAAGTATAGCAATGAGTTACAAACTCACAGCTCTGGCTAATATTCCTTTACTTCTGATGGAGGTTTTGGGGGTGGTTCTTGAAAAACTGCCAGCGGGGACCAAAACACTGACAGCAGGCAATTTGTAGCTGTTTGCTTAAAGGCTTTCATGTCACAGTTTGAACTATATCACATTCAACACCCTAACCGGTTCCTCCGTAATGAAGTTACACTTGTACTCCTGGCAAGTTTGTAATGGGATTAAGCTCACATGGCATAACAGAAGGTAGTCAGAACTTTTACTTCCAAACTGCAGCACAAAGTGGGTGAATTTAAGTGTACACGCTAGATTAAAAATACTCAATAACGGGCAGTAAAATGTAGTTTTGCTTTGCGTTATCCAATGAGACAAACGTGGTGTTATTTTAGGGTTGGAGTTTTACATCCAGTTGTACTTACTCATCTCAGAGGAGCACATTTAAAAGGATAAAACAAGGGTCTCGGCTAACATTTTATAAAATATTTTCACAGATGCATTATTTTTTATGCTGGACGTCACATATAAAGATGATGAGTAGGAGTGTAGCGTACATGTGGCATTGTTGCTACTTGACATGCTAATCATCCCCACATTGCTGCAGAACATTAGTTCAATTGTAACTGATGGTTAGGCAAAAAAGGATGCAGCCCTCCTCAGAATGCCACATTTTGATTTCATCTTTACTGTTAAAACGTCTGTGCAAAGGCTGCTGTGCAGCCATTCCATGCTAGTAAAGGTGAGAGGAAAAAAGGAAGTGGTTAAAGAAGTAGGAAAAGACAAACATTTTTACTTCCTTTTCTTCTTCTAATGAGCCACTTAGGAGCAAAGCCATCAGTCACTAAACACACAGGTGAAGGAGTCGAATTTGGTAAAAATGGGTTTGAAAACAGATTTCTTTGTTGGTCTGCATAAAAGTGTTTTTACATGAGTGAATAAGTGTAAACCTTGACATGGAGGCAAAAAAATAAACCATTAGAAAGTACTGAGAAAATAAAGCACCATGAATAATGAATACTGAACTTCACTGACTTTAAAGCATGGGTGATAAAAAAAAAGGCACAAAGGTACCAACAAAAAGCCAACTATCCAAGAGTGAGGCAAAGTCACCTTACTTTTAACCTGGAAGAGATGTGTTTACGTGAAAAATAAAAAGAAAATAGCGAGGGACTCTTAAAAGAAAACACCACATGGCCAGACAGAGTGGGTATACACCAGCAGGAGCCAAACAACACACTGGACTTCCACTGAATTTTAATCAGGCCCTTTACCTTTGCTTAAGTCAAACACCAGGGGAGCCCTGTGGATAGAAGCACTTCCAGCAAGAATACTGCAGACAGAAGGGCCAGTAATTATCAGATATACCCCTACTCTCCACTCAACAAGATTAAAACAACTCGACGTGGATCACGGACTCTTTGGCACAAGCAGGCGCAATAAAATGACGAACCGGCCTATAAAAAAAACAAATTTCTTGCTCAACTGTACGGCGCACGATCAGAGCAGATGTCAATTTAAAGTGTGGCGACACGTGGGGAGGTCGGCTGCCTCATTTTCCTTTGTCATCTCTAGGAGAGGCGATGACACAATGAGGCAGAGAGCAGGCGAGCTAATGTGAGATAAAAAAAATGAGCCAGAACCTGAAAAAACCGGCCCCGATGTCATTTCCCTTCATTTAGGCCAGCCACAGTTTGATGTAAGAGTGTGAATCTAAACGACAAATTGCATCCAGAGAGTATGGCTGCTTTTTATCTATTGGGCAATAATGAAACCCACTTTCGGCTTCAGAGGGGAGGGAAGAAAAAGAATCACACAGATAATGTCTTTACTAATGCACCTACTTGACACACCTTACTATAGACGACCGTTTTTGACTCTGCCGCTTGCACAAATTACTTTTTCTCATATTTCCCCTTTTTCCCCTCTCTTTACCCTTATCCCTCAAAACCCTCTTCAATTTCACTTTTCTCTAGAGCTATAGTGAAATGGTGGGAACAGCACAGGCTGTGAATCATATCTGGTACCATCACAGAAAAACATGTCAATCATTTTGGGCTGCAGCAGATCTGCCGCTTTGGGAATAACCAATGAGGGAACCGGGGAGGCTAAAGCCTTTAACAATTAAGGGAAAACCATTAGAGATAGTGGTCTGTAAAGGGGGTGCTTGATTGGATTAGATATTGGAACATCCAATCAAACACCAACCCAACACTGGAAATTGAAGTAAGATCTCGTTAACCTTCTAAAGGTAGAAGAACATCTCTGACTGAAGAGTTATATATTGATTTACTTCACTTTTCTCATTTTATCCTCCGTATCATAAGACAGATGAGGTATTTCCATGTGGGTTGTTTTTAATTTATTCTTTTAACTCTAGAGGCTGAGGAAGTGGTGAGCTGTTAGAGAAGCAGAGCTGGGGAACTCTGAACCTGTCCACTCAGATAATGGTCACTGTGTAAAGCTGTGCTGATTTATTGCCGTTGGCATATCAATTACAGCCCTCAACACCAGAGGGGAGAAAGAGGAGGAGAAAGAGGAGGAGAGGGTGTTGAGGGGAAGAAGAAGAAGAAGATGATGATGATGATGATGGTGATGATGATGATGATGATGAATAGCACTCAGACAAATCCTCTGTCCCAAGTGTTGCATCAAAACATCTGGGTCACCAAAACAGAGCAGTAGATATAACTGAAAGATCAAATACAATTCGAGATTAGTGGGACGTTTTTCTTACTTATGATAAAGACACAAAAACAGAGGTCAACCATTTGATCTGGTGATAAATTGGGTCGATATGAGTGATAAAAAACACATACCCTTTTCAATGCTTGAGCATACTAAGCTGATTAAAGGCAGGCCCGTGCGTGGGCTGAAGAGAATTTCAGCGCTTGACACTACGTTCTTGTGTCATTGTGCTCTCCATGATTTCACAGCAGGGTGGTTTTGTTCGGTTTGTAACACTTTCTGTCGACAATCATCGTAGCAACAAGAGCAATTTCAGGAGGACGCTTTAAACATCCTGAGTTCTACTCTATTCTTTGGACTATCTACATTACTTTAAATCCTCAAAATGTATTCAATCACAATTATATCCATTTGTTTTTCACCAGAAGCACCTAGATCTATGTGAATATGAAACTGTCTAAAGGTGGACATTCCAGTGCAGTAACGGGGACCAATGCATTGATTCACCAATACTACAACACAAAGAAGATGACCACACTGAAGACCGAACCAAGACAGCAGCCACTCCAGAGCGACATAAAAAGAAGACATTAGATTGACAAACAACTGTAATAAAAGCCATAATAGGAGGTTTGATCTGGTGTGCCTGTTGTCATTTATGAGCCTGTGAGTGTGTGAGCAACAAATTTTGATGACACACAAACAAGTCAATTATCGTAGCCAGGTCACGACGCGCAGGTTACAGACAGCAATACAGTGAAGAGGACAAACACACTTCAACTTCGGGCAACACAAAATAAATACGTCTGTTGGATGATCTTTGATTCCCTGTCCTTCATCATAACAATCAAATTATGGGCAAATTAAAACTCACATATGCATCGAATAAATGACCTTTGCAATAATCTGCCCTCTGCCTTTTCTTTCAACAGCTAAAACACTCTAGAGATTGGGCGCTTTCTTAGGGGAGGAAGAAGAGATGGGCGGGGGAGAGACGGCAGGAAGCAGGTGGAGGGGGTGGCTGGTTAGAGAGAGGACCCAAACCCTGATGCCTTAATCCTCTCACAGGGTCCGTCACAATCCGACATATGGGAAGAATGGATTACCATCCCCCAGCGTACCGAGGGATGGATTGACGAGGGAGCGGGTGAAAAATCCCTCGAAGTGTGACACACTCGATAATTGATAAATCTGACATGATTGAAGATTCGGGCTGATGTTGTTTTTATGGGCCTGTATACCATTCCTCACACGGTTCAGGTGGGCGAGGAGTCGGCATGTCATTTATAGTCTGGTTGTTCCACCAGTCAGCCATATGTCCCAATCAGACATTGTCTCAAGAGCTGAGAAGGGACAGAAGGAGGTGGGACCAATGATCTCAACCAAAAGCTAAAAATCCCACCAAAACAAACTAATCACTTCTCTACTGAGGATTACTACTGGAACATTATCAAAAAATATCCAAAACCATCTGTCACCATGCACGAACATTTGTTGATGAAGGGACCTGCTTCTCACTTGGTTGGCAGTAGAATACCATGACATGATTTCTAATGGAACCTTGAGGTCAGTGTAACTGGGTACAGTAATACTGGCAATTACTTTTGTGTCACAAGAAAAAAAAAGACAAAGACTTTTGGTGCTTAAAAGAAACAACAAAATATTTTGGTTCCAAAAAGCTTCTGGCATTGTATCGTATTTAAGTCCTCCAATAAGACGTGACAGATTTCCAAGGAAGAAAGACTGATTAGAAAAGAGGGAAGGCAATAAAACAGTAGAACAATATGTGATATCTTGTATTTTTTACTTCCTTTGCCTTAGCTTAGCTGCAGGAGAAAACCAACTGGCACATCTTCAGGTGCAACAAAGCTCTCATGGTTTCTGTTTTAGTGCCAACGTCAATCAGTTTGGGGAAGACAAGTGCTTGTGGCCTTTTTATCTTTCTCTGCGGAGGTGACTTGCTAAAACAAATGCTCTGTTCCAGAGTACAAATGTAGGGAGGCGGTGGTTGTGTGTCCCCCAGGATGTCGGGCATTACAGGAAATTG